TTTTTTCATTGCTTTTATCATTCATTATTTCAACAATTGCTATCGGAAGGAACTATGAAACTATTCCAAACTGGAACGATTATATTGATAAGACTCCGTTATCAGTGTGCGTTTCTATGAACTCTGGGGATCATAAATGATCCACAACTTGCACTGGTCTCAACTATGAGCAATCGAACACATCAATCTCTTTTTGATACCATTCGTACTCGATTGATTGGACATCAATTAGCACCGAATAATGATAAATGATAGAATCCGATTAAAATAATGATAAACATTATTTTATAGCAGCTGTTTGTGTGTGTGTTTTTTCAAGTTGATCAAGTGAATTTCATTCGAAGTGCTTTGAATTGAAGAGTGCATCTGTGGCGAGTGGCACGTCAACGAATCATGAATCTGTTGTGCTGAGGACACCAGCAATGATTGCGCCGATCACGAGTCAGTCGACTGGCTTCTTTAGGGCGAATGTTACACACTGTGTTCGACAGGCGATGCTTGCAAAGGACAGAAATGGCAAATATGGAATGCGATTTCGATCGATCAATAAGGTGATCTCATGGAATATTCAGAATGTTGTTTGTGCCTTATGGCCTAATGAGCAATGTGTGGTCAATGAGTAATCCTCGTCTGAAATCAAAAACAATCATGACGAATGCCCTAACAGTTGGAAGGTCCATTCAGAATAGATTCCTCATAACAGCCCATTAAATTGTTTTGAAATTTATTTGGAACACAGAAAGCAATCTTTGATTACATTTAATTGTAGCACTTTCATGCAATCCAATATTCCATGCTTCTATCATTGGTCTCATGTAACTCATCCTGAAAATGCTACCGAACTGCTTCGCTTCGCTCATTTGACGCAACTGTTTCCATTGAAACTCTTCATAAGAAACTGCATACTGAAAATTCATTATTGCTGCGAAAATAAGTCTTGTCGATTTTACAGGGTATATTCGTGCAGTTCGTAGCTGACGGCTCTCCTGCCGCTTATGCTGGAATTCGTTTCGGTGACCAGATCTTGAAACTTAACGACACCGAAGTGATTGGAATGACTGCTGATAAGGTCGGTGGTTGATAATGCTAGCCCAAGTGTCAGTTCTAACTGAAAGCCAGCAAATTTCAGCGCTATCATCAATGATTTGCGTTACAATTTTGTGGAGGTCATGAGAACAATCGTAATAGCCATCGTTAAGTCGGTTAACAGATATAGAAGGAATACTGCATTATCTTGATTACAATGTCCTCCAAGCATGAATATAATCGCACATTATCATGCTTTTAGGCCTCAAGCGGAGAGGCTTTTTTAAGCGAATTTCAGTCATATTCCTAATGTTGGTTGTTCTTAATTTCCCAGCAGTTCTACTTCTCGTAGACGGGCTCTTAACTTTGAACGGTTTCTTTTGAAGTTGATGAACCTGGTGATATTTTCGAGTTGAAAACGTACAGAAAGTATAATATCTGTTGCGTTCTTAAAAGAAATCGGTGATGAAATAATTGCGAATTTGTTTTCAGGCAATGGACTTAATGACGAACACGAAGAACCCGCAACAACTTTTGGTGACGTTCCGGGATAGGTAACAGTTCAACTCACATTCTTTGGTTTTTGCCCACTCGAACACACATTCCTTTTCTAATCGTTCGGGTTACCGAGGCGATTCTTATTCTTCGTAATTTCAAACCAATGTCATTATGACATAGATTTGGAATTACGAACTCGAAGCCCTGTAAGCAGCTACCTGAGTCAGGCTTTAGCTCAGACTTAGGAAGCTGCTTACAGGGCTTCGAGTTCGTTAGGACATGTATGCAACTTAACGCAGTGGAAAAAAACGTACGGTGCACTGTTAGGGGAATTTTGTGATAGCCTAATGCATAATATTTCAGCCAGCGAATGAAAACCGCATGCCCTCAATTGAGAAAATGCTATAAAACAATACAGCTGGTTGAATTGCTCAACATAGGTTGATCGAATGTACACTAACTTTTGATAGCTTTCTAAAATTGAAGTGTTAAATGTCAAGAGCTTTTCATTTGCTGCAAATCAGCTTATTGTTAGGAAATCTATACAGCAGTATCAGTTCATTGACTGTTACAGGCCTTTCGAACGTACCATAACGCTCCATCGGGATAGCAGTGGCAATTTCGGGTTTACGCACAAAGAGAATCTAATAACAGCAATCGCAAAAGATTCAAGTGCTAGTCGTAACGGTCTCTTAATTCAGCATCGAATTATCGAGATTGATGGACGGAATGTTATCGCTTATAAGGTAGATATTTACTCTATCAAAGCCGCTCTTCTTCATTGGGCTAATCCAGCGATTCTCACATTAACCCTTTTAATGATCTGGCAGGCCGCCGTAACCTCCCCCCCCTCCCCTCCCACTTCTTCAATGATTGCATTCGATTATGACTGTACGAAAA